CACACACACACACACACATACACACACACGCACTCACTCTCTCACACACACACGCACACACACACACACATACACACACACGTCAGGTTACAAAACATACAGACAGATGCAGTAACCAACAGTAGCATTACGGTTTGACAGTTGTGCTCATAAGTTTACATACCCCTTGTAGAATATGCAAAATGTCATGAAAATTGCATGTTATTCTTTATTTCTAATAAGCTTGTAATAAGCTTTTTTATTTATCTTGAATAAGCTATTTCACATAACAGATGTTTACAAATTCTCCACAAGACAAAATAGTAACTGAATTTATAAAAAATGACCCCGTTCAATATGAATATTAATACTGCGTGTAGTTTCCTGGACGATCCACGGCTGTTTTTGTGTTTAGTGATAGTTGTTCATGAGTCCCTTGTTTGTTCTGAACAGTTAAACTTCCTGCTGTTCTTCAGAAAAACTTAAGAAAAATTGACACACGGGGTCATTTTTATAAATTCAGTTATTATTTTGTCTTGTGGAGTAAATGTAAACATCTGTTATGTGAAGCAGCTTATTTAAGACGGTACTAAATAAAAAATAACATGCAATTTTCATGATCCCTCTTATTTTGTTAAAATTATGAACATTTGGCATATTCTGCAAGGGGTGTGTAAACTTATGTCCACAACTGTATGTATTTTACGTTTTCATTTTAACTTTGGTTAGTTTTAGTAATTATTAAATGCTTATATATAGCTTTTTAAAATCTTTTATTTCAGTTTTTTAGTACGTTAAGTTAAACTAAATGAAAATGATAAACAGCTGAAATTAAATATTTAGTTTTAGTCATTTTATTAAGTGTTTTTGTCATTTTTATTTGTTTTAGTTTTTAAACGTTTTTTTTTTCGGTTTTAATTTTTATTATTTTAGTACAAAGTTAAGCTAAATGAAAATGAGAAATTGTGACTTGGTAACTAGCTGAAATATATATATATATATATTTTTTTTAATGTTTATGTCAGCTTTAGTTAGTTTAGTACATCAATATAAACATAAACTAAAAGAAAATAAGAAATGCTGCCTAGGAATCTAGCTGAAATAAAATATGCATTAGTTTTAATCATTTTGTTGTATGTCTTTCCCATTTTTAATAGTTTTTGTTGTCCGTATAGTTATTTTTATTTCAGTTTTAATTATTTTAGAACATCGAGTTAAACTAAATTTGCAATTTTCATGATCCCTCTTATTTTGTTAAAATTATGAACATTTGGCATATTCTGCAAGGGGTGTGTAAACTTATGTCCACAACTGTATGTATTTTACGTTTTCATTTTAACTTTGGTTAGTTTTAGTAATTATTAAATGCTTATATATAGCTTTTTAAAATCTTTTATTTCAGTTTTTTAGTACGTTAAGTTAAACTAAATGAAAATGAGAAACAGCTGAAATTAAATATTTAGTTTTAGTCATTTTATTAAGTGTTTTTGTCATTTTTATTTGTTTTAGTTTTTCAACTTTTTTTATTTTAGTACAAAGTTAAGCTAAATGAAAATGAGAAATTGTGACTTGGCAACTAGCTGAAATATATATATATATATTTTTTTAATGTTTATGTCAGCTTTAGTTAGTTTAGTACATCAATATAAACAAACTAAAAGAAAATAAGAAATGCTGCCTAGGAATCTAGCTGAAATAAAATATGCATTAGTTTTAATCATTTTGTTGTGTGTCTTTCCCATTTTTAATAGTTTTTGTTGTCCGTATAGTTATTTTTATTTCAGTTTTAATTATTTTAGAACATCGAGTTAAACTAAATGAACATGTTGCCTTGGCAACTAGCTGAAATAAAATATTTAGTTAGTTTTTGGTATTTTATTATGTGTTTTTGTCACTTTCATTAGGTTTGTCTAATGTGTATAAAGAATTTTTTTTAGTTATGAGAATGCGAAATGCAAAAATATTAATAAATATGATCATTTTTGACAATTTTATTGTCGTTTTTATTTTTAAAATGTTAATAATTTTATAGTTTACGTCATTTTGTAATTAATAAAACTAAAATGTATGTCTGTAAATCTGTTTTAGGCATTAAATACTGTTACAAACACAAGCATAAATCACACTAATGTTTGTTGGTTTGTAAAACCATAAAAACCATTTAAGATATAAAATATGAAATAAAATATCATAAAAAATTTTTTTTTTTAATAACATTAAAATTATTTTTGTTCAGCTAGTTGCCAAAGCAACATTTCTAATTTTGATTTAGTTTAACTTGAAGTGCTAAAATAACTAAATCTAAATAAACTAAGAAATAATAAAAACTACATGCACAAAAATAAAAACTAATAAAAATCACAAAAACACACAACAAAATAACTAAAATTCTAAAATTAAAATGAAACCAGAACATACAATCTAATTAAATTTGAGCTTTTGTTTACATTTTAAAATAATTAAAATGAAAAATAAAAGTCTAAAAAAAATTTTATCTAATTCAAAAACTATAACAGTATATCAATCAAACGAAAATAACTGTATCAGCTTCGGACGTGGTTCTCTTCAAAGCATGTTTCTAAACCAAGTGTAAATGTTCGTATGTGTGTCGTTGTCGTTTACCATGAATTTAGCGTGATTGACGTTCCAGGTCAGCGACGTGAGGCTTCTGTTTCCGAGGTCGACGACTGAATCCTCGATGATGTACACCGAGCGCGACAGATTTCCGGGGAAGACGCGCTCCGCCCAGCGAGGGAGACGATTGGTCTTCGTCAGGAGCCGCCGGGACAGGAGCCGGTTATCCGGCGTCACCTCGCGGAAAAGTACGTCCTCCGTCAGAACATGAGTGCTGAGAGAAACACGCTCACAGTGTCATATAGTGCATACAACAATCAAATACACACAACAGAGAAATATGAAGCCATTGACTTAGATAGGCTGCTCAGCGATGGATGCTCTGCAGTGAATGGGTGCCGTCAGAACGAGAGTCTGATAAAAACATCACGAGTGATCCACAGCACATCAGTTAACATCTGGAGAAGACAAAAGATGCAACTAATCCAGCATTAAGACTAAAATACGAGTCCATAATCCATAATAACGCTTCCTCCAGTGAGAAAGTGTGAATCAGGAGAGAGATCTGCACAGATCAAGCAGCGTTTAAACAGCTTGAAACACATATGTGGCTGGATTTTGATGTGAGAGACAACAGCAGATGCACTTTTTCACTGCAGGAAGAGTTATTATAGATTACAGACTCTATGTATTTTAGTTAAAAACGTCTTAATGCTGGATTTGTCTCAGCTTTTGTCTTCTCCAGATGTTAACTGATGGACTGGAGTGCTGTGGATTATTGTGATGTTTCTATCAGACGCTCGTTCTGACGGCACCCATTCACTTGCAGAGCATCCATCGCTGAGACACTGATGCAGTGCTACATTAGAGACAAACTCATACCTGTAGGGGTTGGGGTATCTCAGCCAGAAGGCCGTCAGCACCTGCTCCCACGCGCTCTTGATGTCGGTCTCGCTGAAGAAGTGCTTCCCGATCATCACGAGCCCAGCAGAGCCCCAGCAGCTGAGTCCTGAACAGAGGAACCATCACATCTGACGGATCAAAGTTACTGCATTCATAGACCATGGTGTCGTTGTTACACATTACATGTACTTACTATTATAATAACAATTAATTATGCATAATTACATGCAAGAAATCTCCAAATCCTAACCCTATAATAAGTGCATACTCTGTACCTATATGTATAATTAGGCTACACTGTAACAAGGACACCTTAAAATAAAGTGTAGCCATACTTGTATTTTTTCTAAGTGGCAGAAACTGTTACTTTGGAGGGAAAATATGGTTGGCATAGTGATACTTTGAAGCGGAAGTGGTTTTAGCAGATAAACCATAAAGGGCCACACAGAACCAAACACAAACACAAACACATGATGGGCTTATTTTAGAGTTCATATGATGATAAAATCATGTTTAATGGCATTAGAGTTTCTCTTCCGTAATCCGCTTTAGTGAAGAAATCCAATAGCGTAATTATTAGTAAAACTACAGCTCTGTTTGCTGTATTTATTTTACAACACTGTTATTATCCGTTTATTGCGCACATCAAGCACAAGCGAGACTAAACGAATAAAGAAAGACGAAGGAGCCGAATGAACACGAACACATATAACAGATTTTCTCGATACATTGTAGCACTCACTGTAATCCTGACGCTCATCTCCGACTTCCGCTGCATTTCCGCCTTCTGCGCATGCGCGCGCGCCAAATCAGCTGTTATTACTGCGACGCTCTCAAATGAGCTGACGCTTTAGTTTAGAGACCAATTCTCACTATTAACTAGTTGCGTATTTGCATGCATATGATAGCATATTGGCTGTTCATATTCTGCATGACCATAGTTTAGTATTTCCCTCTATTCAACTCAATACCTAAATTTAATAAGCAATTAATAAGCAGCAAGTAGTGAGTAGTCCCCAGTGTGACCAAAATATTATTTTATTTTTAAAATGTAACTTTGTTAATGAATTACTAAATTCTAAAAACTAAGTTTATTATTTATACTTTCTGTTTGTTGTTTAAAAGCACATGCAAACTACAATTCTAATTAAGCCACTGAATGTTTAATGAAAATAAAGTAAAATCAGAGGCAGGGCAACTGATTTGCTGAGATTAAATAAGCATCTGTGAATGCAGAGGATCATTTTTAGATGCTTAGATTAACAGTGGTTCCCAACCCTGGTCCTTGAGGCACCCCAACACTGCATATTTTGCATGTCTTCTTAATCAAACACACCTGATTCAGGTCTTCAGCTCATTAGTAATTGGAAATTGGTGCATCATAGAAAGGAGACATGCAAAATGAGCAGTGTTGGGGTGCCTCAAGGACCAGGGTTGGGAACCACAGGCTTATTAGAACACATTTTCTGGTTGCTATTTTTATTTCCACCACTAGATGGAGACGCGTTTCCACTTTTAAAACTACTCCTTCTATACATCTTACATATCTGAGCACTACATCATGAACACACTCACATACACACTATATAGCCATCACACTTTCACTTCTATAGAAGCAGTGAATATCTGTAACGGCCTATTAGCATCATATCATTAGTTATATAGCAAAGAAGTTCAGTTAGCTCGTATTAATTTGCACGTCCCTTTTTTAAGAGACTTATCTCCACAATTTAGGAAACAACTTCAAATGTTTAATTGAAGATGTTGTTTCTGCACTAGTAACAGTTCAAACACATATGTGACTAGTATGTTAATGTATTAGAACTGCACTCATGCCCAGGTGAAGGACACATGTGCAAACCCTTCATCATCTTCATCATCCTTCAGTCTGAATCTCATTAGAGTCTCACAGCCTGCAGAGCATCACAGCAGCCGTCTGCATCCACACGAGCCCGTCGACATGAGATCTCACTGCATCTGCATGGTAACAAAACTGTTAGAAGAATGTGAAGAGGTAGAGAAGTTGTTTGGAGTGAAGCACAGATGCTGAATAATCTGTGTGCTGCTGTTTTAGGTGTGTTTTGTGCTGTGTGTGTTTGGATGGCATGACCTGGATAACAGTGAATATGACTGCTGGCCGCTGGAAAAACCAGATGAACTCAACATGATCGACTGCGGAGGTGCGTCTCACTTTGAAACTGTTTTCACTCGGAAATGACTAGGAAACTTCATGTAATTAAATGGCATGTGACACATTTGAATTAAACACTAAATTATAAAGCAGCAGCAATCTTTGTTTTATCTTCAACTATTTAAAAAACTGAGAAACCTCATTGGAACAGCAATTGTTTGAAATGGAAATCTTTTTTTTTTCATTATAAATGTCTTTACTGTCACTTTCAGCACATCAGTTTTCAACATTGATAATAAAATGTACCACGGTTTCCACACAAATATTGTTCAGCACGACTGTGTTCAACATTGATAATAATCAGAAATGTTTCTCGAGCAGCAGATCAGCATATTATACTGATTTCTGAAGATCATGTGACACTGAAGACTGGAGGAATGATGCTGAAAATACAGCTGCGCATCACAGAAATACATTACAGTTTAACAGAGATTCACATAGAAACTGTATTTTACATTTGTTTTTGAATAAATAAATGCAGCCTTGCTGAGCAGAAGAGACCTTTTACGAAAAAACATCAATTTTAATCCAATTTGTGTGTGTGTGCTTGTGTACGTCCGTCCGTGTGTGTGTGTGAGTGTGTGTGTGTGCGTGCTTGTGTGTGTGTCTGTGTGTCTGTGTCTGTGTGTGTGCGTGTGTGTGCACAGGTCTAGAGATGGCGTGGGTCCTGCGTCCTCCAGAGAAGGTTCTGAGTGGTGAGGATTTCAGTGTCATTTACTCTGTGACCGTCAGAGAGGAGTTTTACCAGTGGGCCATCGACAATGACATCTTCATTCACCGGTATCATCATCTTATACCTATACATAGATAGATAGATAGTGTACTTTTTGTTTTTAAAAAAGTTGTCTTACTGTATGGCTGCTACCTTGGTCAGGTCTGTCTTGTAAAAGAGATTTTAATCTCAATGAGACTTCCTGGTAAAATAAAGGTAAATAAGATAGGTTCAAGGTTTCTTTATTAATACCTGAAAGTAAATTTGTTAGATAGATAGATAGATAGATCACAGTACTTTAGGGCATTTGTTTTATATTACAAGTTATCTAATATGTTGTTTAAATGTGCAAATAAGGCATTATGTAATTAAATAAGCACTCATTTGTATATATTTTCAGAACAGAAATCTGAAGTCAGGTTCAAAATACTTGTTTGATTTTGTTGACATGTTAGAGTTAAAGATTTTTATAGAGGGGATTTTAGATTCCTCTTTTTATCACT